CGCCATGCATGTCACACGGCACCAACCCCCCTCCTCCTACCACCCCCTCCCCCTTATTTTTATGCCACCCCCTGAAACCACCCACCACCCACTTTTGTGCAATGGCGCGTGTTTTGCCATGTAACTCGTTTTGTCTCCAAGCTCCTTTGCTTTTTCTCTACATTTCTTTTTGCTACTTTTTGCAGGTTTTTTTCGGGTGAGGTAGCTTTTTTATGCCCGCTTCATTTCCGGCAAATTAAAACGCATACGGCGCCACACGAGTAACATTCTGGATGGCAAAAATAAAGTGAAATAAAATAAAATAAACACTAATTTTGCAGCCGTGTGACACTCGTAGTTTTTGGTACATTTTTCGCCGTATTTCCTCTAGAGTCACATAATTTCTGGTTCAGTTTTGCCCAGTTCAGTTCAGTTTCCAATTTATTTGTTTGCCAGGGGATTTGCAGTCAGCACCATCCACTCAATGGCTCTGTCCTCTGTTTATTTCTTTTTTTTCTGTATTTTTCCCATTTTCTGTTTGCACCTCGCCTCATAATTAAAAGCTGCACTACGAATTTTTCAATAACAGCCATAAATCAGGCATATGGAAGCCGAGGGAGTTGGCCATAAATAACTTTACAGCCACACACATTGGCCGGCAAAACGGCGTAACGTAACGTGAAGGCCCAAATGGAGGGCGGTGGAACAAGGCAGAACACAAGGGGGCGTGGCAGAGGCTCCATCGATGACCCAGTCAAGCATGAAAAGCCCCCACTTGGCTCCTTATTAGTCATGCCTGAGATCGTCCGACGACACTGGCGGTAAATGCAATCGAAAAGTCGAGGAAAGCGAATTAAAACTTTAAGCAGGAGAAAAGCAGGTAAAAATTAAAGGTCCTTCAGGGTAAGTAATAAATCTTAAGAGACAATTTCACAACACAATTCAGGGGGGAAACAGAAACTCGAACATTCATCAAAATTTTAAAAATACAAAATAAATATTCTTAAAATGTTGACAAATTTGCGAAATATTTTTTAGCATTAAATAAGTCTCAGCAATTATTTGCTTGAAATCATTAATGAAGGTGTCAAAAAGTATGCCACGAAAAAATTACGTTGTCATTTGAAATTCTGCATATTATTTCATACTTTTAAACACATTTACAAATTATTTTTTAATTCTTCCGAATTTTCAGATGAAGGTTTTTCTTAAAATACTTTACAAGTCTAACAAAAATACCAAAATATATATAAGAATACAAATTCTTTCCTTTCATGCAACCAACTTCAAAGTTGTATTTCATGCACCTTTAATAAGTTATTGAGTTACTTTGTTCTACGCCAAATTGCATTATTTCCATTATGGGTTCTCGGTACCTGTGTTACTTTTAATTATGGGTTCCTAACCCCTAAACACACACACACTCACAGTCACACAACTCACACATATAGAAGGAAGCTTATAGCATAACTATAGATTGCGGTTGCCTTATTTGCCCCCGGTTTCCCCTTTTCCCCCCTTTTTATGGCTTGCATATGTATAACAGGAAATTAAAAATATATGCTGCATTTGGGCGGCACTCTTTCTCCGTGAGTGTGTGTGTGTGTAAGGTGTAAGGTGTATGTGTGTGCGATAGGATGTGTTGCCTACTTTTTGGCATTCGCCCGGCTCTTTTTGTCTGCTCACTTGTTGGTTGGGTTTTGTTTGCTTGTTTGCTTTGTTTTCCACATGGGCCACATTATTATGATGTCTCTTCTCTTTTCGCCTGAATGAAGTGCATCGCACATAAGGGAGTCGAGTGTATGGGTGTGCGTGTGTGTGAGTTTGAGAGTGTGTGTGCAAGTCCCACCCTAGAGATGGAAAACTATTAAAAGTTTTCAAGAGATAAGATATAACAAATAAAAGCTATCGAGAGTTTCATAGAAACCACTTTAAAATCACTTATAAATGTATCTAAAAGTATGCAATATTATTTTCTTTTTGACGCAATCGTATTACAAAAAATCTAATTATTTACGAATTTCAATTTTTTTAATAATTTGTCGAACCATTTTTGTTGTCTTTCCCTTTAAAACAGCCCTTCTGCTATATTAATCGTACATTTTAAAAATATTTCTTTGGCTTAAGTCTTTAAAAATCTAAAAATATTTCAAAAAATTTTCTGAACTAGGAATTTATAGTATTCCGAATTAAGGCTGCAATTAAGTCTTTATTGATATTCTAAAATAAAAAAAAAACTATTTTTTCTTTTATTATTATTTCTTTGGCTAAAGTCTTTAAAACTATAACATAATATATTAAAAATTTTATTTAAAATCAATTAAAAATTGTCCCAAACTAGGAATTTCAAATTCCCAAATTAATTATTATAATTAAGTCATTATTGATATTTTAAAATCAACAAAAACTATTTTTTCTTAAGGGTAAATCTAAGGAACCCTCTATAAATCGCATCACGCGGTCATCACCAAAGACACACACGTTTCAGGGGTCGACTGGCAGCGTCAGCTTCGCGATTTTTCATCAAAGTCACGGCGGGCAAAAGTTGGCGAGATGCTGCCCCATTGTTGCCTCTGACACTGACACCGGAAATGAACACATTTTCCGGTGCAATACGTGTGTGTGTGCCCGTGTCTCTGTGTCTGTTTGCACACACACACACACACACACACACACACACAGCGACACACAAGACCACCCAGTGGGAGATTGAAAGTCGCTTAATGTATTGTTTTCCACCGCTGACTCTCGCCTTTCAGCTTTCGGCTTTTGGCTTTTGGATTTCAGCGTTCCGATTTTCAGTTTTTCAGATTCCACGAGAGGAGGCCAAACGAAACGAAACGAAAAATACTGATCTCCCACTTATTAGTGTTAAAGGAGCCAACGAGAGCCGGCGGCGGCCTCTTCCGCCCAGAGAATTTAATTACTCGAGTGGAGCGACCGGCAGAAGGTGTTAATGAGATTGCTCTGCCGACTGCGGCTTTGCCAAATCAACTCGTCAACTCAGAGGTCTCAGTCGCAGTCACAGTCACAGTCGCAGTCACAGTATCCCAGTTCACAAAAGCCGGGAACTCTGGAAGATTCATGCGGCTAAGTGCAGCGGGGATTGGAATTGCAATTCGGCCAACTGGCAGCGGAGCAATCACTCGGATTGGCGGTAGAGGATTATAGGATCCTACAACCAAAGTAGGTTGAATTTGGTCCATCGGATCGCGACTTTAAAAGGAAATAGCTCAAAAGGTTTGAGATCTGAATTAGTCAGCATTTAAATATTTATTTTGGATTTTAAAAAATTCTGTATTTATGGTTTGATTGAAAGGTGACCCAAAATTGCAGAATGGTAACCCAAAATAGCACTTTTATGACCAAAAAAAAAAATTCTTACCTTAGTTAGCGTGCCTTTAAATATTTATTTTTGATTTTAAAAAATTCTTTCTTTATGGTTCAATCAAATGGTGACCCAAAAATGCCTGTTTAAAATCTGTAAAATCAAAAAAAAATCCTGCTTTCATTTTAAAGATTTAGTTTAATTATTTTATAATTTGCATTTTAATTTTCTCGTTTTTTTGTATATATTTTGAAGAAAATTCAAATAAATTGCGAAAAGGTGACCCAAAATTACACATTTATGGCCATACCTTCATCAATTGAATAACGATTTTTAGGTTGGATACCTCAAAAAGTTTGTGATTTAATTCTCAAGTAATGAGCATTTAAGGCTTTAAAACTGTTGACCAACTTTTATGATAGGAAATTTCCAGTTCTCGATGAAGCACTTTTAACCTGTTGGTTAACCTCCAGTTAAAAAATATGATTCTCATTTCCCCCATCCTCGCAGAATGAGGATTTCCCCTTAGCTTTCTCATCCCATTTTGCTCTGTCTGATGGCTTCTTAATTAGCTGTTAAAACGTTTCGGCAGCTGCCAAAACAATTACACGCTTTATTTCCATGAACGGCACGTTTTACCTTGGTTGCAACGCCCCCACCCGCGAGTCGTGACCCTTGACCCCCCTCTAAGGCCCCCCTGAAACCCCCTCCACGCCCAACAAACTACTGTTGCTGCAGCTGGGGCAACTCTAATCCAGGACTCAAATCGTTTTACGCTGTCGCCGCATGTGGGCATTAAGTTAAATGCCGGCGTAGACGACAGGAACAATGATGATGGGGCCCAGCCGATGATAATGATGATAATGGAGGGGAAGGATGAAGGGTGAAGGATGCGGATACGTGATTATGACGATAAGGTTCCGGGGCTTCAGATTCCCAGAAGCCCATCGACAGAGCGGCACAATCTGCTGATTTATATTATTGTCACGTTTATGGCCAGATTGGGATTGAAATTGAGACGAGATGTGGGCTAATATTGTGGGTGGTGCAGCTTACGGTGCATTGCACTTTTTACAAGCAATTAAAGGTATTCGAAATAGAATATATATGTATGTAGTAGAAGCGAATGTCTAGAGACAGCTGTAAATGAATAATGAATGCCAATTCAGCGAAAAATATATTCAATTCAATTTCGATGCGTCACTCGAATGCCGCCGCCGCCGCGTTCGTCGCTCATTAATTTATGACAGTCATTTTTAACGCTTTGCTGCCCACGATGCCCTGCAAGTGACAGTTGATGCTGACGGCGTGCCACGCCCCCTCTCTAACGCCACCCGCCCCCTTTTTGCATGCGTCAAATATTCAAGCGCCATTTTTCAATTGAATTGAATGAATTTCTGAATTGAGTGCATGAATGACGGAGTCGCAGGACAAGAAAAAACGTATGACTAGTTGGCTAGATCGAGGGATTTTCCAGTTATATTCGGTAAAATATATAATACAAATATAATAAAATATCGAAATAATAAATATGATTAATTAAAAAAATAAAAATTAAAAATATATCAAAGAATAGAATAAATTTTAAAATTCTTAAATCATTTCTTACATTTTAAAGGCTAATTTCCCCTACACTTCCATATAATTTTCTTAGAAATATCTATTCAAAGAGAGTATTTCTCTATTCGCTCACCTGAAAATCGCCATTATTCCGTCTTGTTGTCCTCCGAATGATTTGTGTTTGCCCCCTTTGTTGACGGACGTCGAGGACAGAGCGGTTCTACGGCAAACGGGCCATTTGGCCGGACTCCAAAGTGGCCATATTTCACGCTCCTTCTGATGGGCCTTGTCAACGTTGGCACCCCGACTTCGCCTGCTCCTTCTCCATATGGATATATCCATATCCTCCAGTTGATGCAGGAGTACATGGGCAGACATTACACTTTAATTAACTACAAATCCAGTGAAATTGCATTTCTCCATTTCTCCACTTTGCCACGCCCCCTTTTTGGCTAGTTTTTGAGCTAATAAAACATTCAAAATATTTTTGTCGGCTCGCTTCTTTGGCTTTTCCTTTTTTTCTGGCCGGGGGAGTGTGTAATTTTGCACATTTCATATGAAAAGTTGTCGGGCTCACGCAAAAAACTTTGGCAGCCAACACACAAGGATGCAGTTGGCACCGTGGAACTGTGGATAAAATAATAAAGAAGAAATTAGTGGGGAAAATATAAGATTTATGGAAAATTATTTATTTTAACATTACCAATTTGAAGGGAAAATTTAAAAACTTCTCATTGTGCTTTAAAAAATTGTATTTGAAAATTATTTATTAATTAACTAGATATAATAACTTAGGAAATCCCTGAACTGAAAATATTTTTTAAAGTTAGTATTAAGTATCAAATTATTCAATTACTAGGGTTAGTAAATTACAGATTCATAATTTATTTTAATAAATATTTTGAAATTTTGCTATTAAAAATAATCCACTATCTCCTAATAAAAATAATATATAACAATTTAAAAATATTTCCCTGATAAAAAAGTGACTTCTTACCCTTTAAAATACTACTTATAGGATCTAAAATATTTTTAAAACTTACAATCATTTTATATTTTTTTTTTAGCCCCTGACTTCTAAATCTACACACAGTGCACAAGAAAAGTTTCTTTCGGCAAAGATTAACAGAACCCAGAGAACGCAACCAAAAAGGGGGTTTGAGGATGGGGATGTGCGTGTTTCTGGCGGCGCATGTTTGGCAATGCGGTAAACCAAATTATGTGCTTAGCAAGTTGCCGCTGCGACCAGAGTCAGTGCACCACCTAAACCACCCGATCCTTTGTGTGCTGGATGCAGCTGCATTTGCTCAGCAGCACCACATGGCCCCTCACTCCTTGGCTCTTTGAGCTGCTCCCCATGCACTTGGTCGATTTTCCCGGTGGCAAGGAGGTTTGCACAGGTGTTTCTAGCAACTTTGCCCAGCATGATTAAAAAGTTTCTCCCACGGCGAAGCAATGGAAAACCGAGGCTTTGGTTACCAGATTGTCGGTGACTGACAGCACGAGGATCTGTCAATGCTTATTGTTTATTTTTTGAGCTAGGAATGAAAGCTATGGAAACTATTCTTGGATATCTACGTATACCAAAGGTCTATCCTGATTTTATTATAAAATATATAGGTATACAAAAAATGTATCTTGATATTATTATAAAAAATATATAGGTATACCAAAGTTCTATGTTGATTTTATTATAAAATATATCGGTTTACCAAAGTTCCATTCTGATTTTATTATAACTTCATTTTAAGAGCCTTTTGTAAGCTGGTTTCTATATTTAAATGTATTATTCCAAGCGATATCTATCAGTAGAAGCTCGGATACCCATATATGATATATTCTTAATATCCCTCTTAGTATAAAATATATCATATTTTATATTTTCGAAGAAATCCCCCCCATGCCATAGAAAAACAGCGATTGAGTGTGTGTCATAAGCGTGTTTACATAGCGTACAAAAAAAAAGGAAATTCAAAATGCATTCTTCGGGCCTCGAACATGAGAGTGAGAGGGGAGTTTTGGGGAGGGGGCAACGAGGAGCTAGCCTCTGGCGAAGCGAAACATCTGCGAGTACAAGATCAAGTTAATGTACAGAACGGTCGACATGGCGATGAGCATGGCCAGACGGTATCATTTCTTCTTGGCATCCTTGAGGCCAGCGCCGGCGTTGAACTTGAAGAAGATGATGTCGCCGTCCTCGACGGTGTAGTTGCGTCCCTGCTGGCGGTACTTGCCGGCGGCCTTGGCATTCACCTCGCTGCCCTCCGCCTTGAAGTCCTCGAAGTGCATCACCTCGGCCATGATGAAGCCCTTCTCGAAGTCGGTGTGAATCCGGCCGGCGGCCTGCGGTGCCTTGGTGCCCTTCTGAACGGTCCAGGCCTTCACCTCATCCGCTCCGGCGGTGAAGAAGTACTCCAGCTGCAGACCCTTGTAGCCCGTCACGATGATCTTCTCCAGCATGCTCTTGCACTTGGTCTCCGTCTCGTAGGCCTTGCGCTCCAGCTCGTCCTTCTCGGTCAGCTGCTGCTCGAAGGCGCCGGAGAACGGGATCAACAAAGCTCCGGGATCGTTCTTGTCGATCCACTCCTTGATCTTCGGCAGCCACTTGTTCTTCTTGCGGATGAAGTCCTTGTCGGAGAGGTTAACCAGGTAGATCATCGGCTTGGAGGTCAGGAACAGATACTTGTTGAGGGCCTCAATCTGAAAGTGGTGGTAGCGTTAATAAGAACGGGATGCAAAATCACAAGGTCACACGAAAAAATCCACAAGAAAGTCGGATTTAGATTACAAATAAATATTATAAATTTAAGTTCTATGGGAATATTTTTTAAATAACTTTTTAACTTGTAAGTGAAATAATTGTAGCTGGAAAATTATATATCCATTAATAAAAAAATAAATATTTATAAAATATCAACAAAAATGTCTATAAAAAGTCGGATTTAGAATAGAAAGAAATATTATAAATTCAAATTCTAAGGGAATATTTTTTAAATGACTTAGAATAGATTTAAGTAAAATATTTGTAGCTGGGAAATTATGTATCCATTGACGATTAATAAATAAAAATTTATAAGATAACAACAGAAATGTCTATAAAAAGTATAGTTAACTTTAAATGAATAGAAATGAAGGACAATATATAATAGTATTTTTTAAATAACTTTTAGAAATGGAATTAAGTGAAACAATTGTAGCTACAATAATAATTAAATAAATTGTAATAAAATATCAACAAACATGTCTATAAAAAGAACAGATGGTTAACTATACTTGACTTTAAATTATATAAAATAAATAGAAATAAGAGACAATACAGAAGTGGATTTCTTCGCACTCACATCGTGGGCATTCCAGTCCTCGAAGCGCAGATGACGCTTCTGGTCGATGAGGATCTCCTTGATCTTGACCATCGAGTCGTATTCGGGCTTCAGCTTCTTGTCGCCGCCGCGGGCCACCACCTTCTCCAGCTTGTCGAGGTTCTTGAGCAGATTCTCCTCGTCCTTGAGGCGCAGCTCCTCGTTGATGATCTCCAGATCGCGAACGGGATCCACCTCGCCCTCGACATGGGTCACATCGGGATCCTCGAAGGCGCGGCACAGATGGAAGATGGCATCGCAGGCGCTGATGTGCGAGAGGAAGTCGTTGCCAAGTCCCTGGCCCTCGGCGGCTCCCTTGACCAGGCCGGCAATGTCCACGACGTTCAGATAGGCGGGCACCACACTAGTTTTGGTAATTTTTTATTTTAAAAATTATTTCTGTGTGAGCACATTTAACTTAACAAGCGATTGGCAACCAAAAAGTGAAGTGTTTAAGTTCCGGAACTCAATGAATTGTGTATAAATGTTGATAAGCAAGGCAAAAACTAAAAACGAAAGGATTTAGATCCCTTTTTTGACTTACCTGGCGGGCTTGTGGTACTCAACCAGGTAATCGAATCGCTCATCGGGCACCGGAACACGACGTGTGGGTAAGGCAATCACCAGCACATGGAAAAAAAAGCGGTAAGACGCATGTTAGTCGGGTTTATTTGGCTGGATGCAGAAATACAAAAATACAAGACTCAGCCCGGCAGCATCGCGGGCCAATCATGGCAATTTTCTATAATTTTGCCCCATCCGCAAAGGGGCTGCATAACCAAAATGAAGTCGCTCACAAATAAAAAGCCCAGGAAAATGAAACCGAAGCGAACTGAACTGAACTGAGCCAAACCGAACCGAAGGCGGGGGCAATTTGCATATTGGGAACTGGATCTGATAAAATTGCTAAGGCCGCGACACGCCCACCAAGCGAAAGACAGTGGAGCGGGGATATTACAGAAAAATATTTCGGGGTTCCTTAAAAACTTAACTTTAATTTTATGAACTTGATTAAGAAAATGTTTCTTGTAGTTTTTCTGAATTCCTACGTTATACAAATATTTTTTGCTTCTTTGGGTTCTTGTTTAAGGAATTTGTTCTTTTGTTTTCACTTCTGAATAAAAATAGTTATTGTAATAAATTATTTGGAATACAATGGGATATTACAGAAAAATATTAAGGGTTCTTGAAGAGCTTTACTAGAATACTATGAACTTGATTGGGAAGGTATTTCTTATAGATATTCTGAATTCCTACTTTGGGTTCTTATTTAAGGAATCTGTTATAACAGATAATTATCCAATAAAAATAGTATAATAAATTATTGTTAATAAGAAATGAGATGGTATAATAATTAGTTTCTAAGAAAACTCTGACTTTTGGTTGACTTTTATCTAAATAATATAAGAATAAAACGGAATAGATCTGATTATGATTTGACATAGGATTTCAGTTTACAAAACCTAGGTAAATGGTCTTCTAAACTACACTTTTCCTAGTTTTATAGAGTCCATTAATCATCGAATTACGGGAATTAAAAAAGCAGAGTGTATAAATCAATATTAATGGTATAATATATGATATGTAGATGGTTAAAAGAATTGGTAAGATGATATTGGACTAAAATATAGTTTGATTTAGCTTAATGCTTTTAGTAAACTCTAAAAGCCTGTTGATTATGTTTCCCTTCACAAAACTACTAATATCATCGATTTCTCTCCTGTTTAAAGACCCTTCCTCTTATCGAGGCTCCACTGTGGCTATTTTAGAAGGTCCAGTCGAGAGAGCAATTTGGAATTAGAAGCGGCGGCGGCTGCTCCTGGAGGCCATTGCTGCATCGCAGCGGCGGGCATAAAA